CAGCAGAACACTCACTAGAAAACATGAAGCTGGTACAAGTTTGCAGCAGCTGGAAGAAGGTGAAGCCTGCATGGCTAACACACACGAGAGGGGAAGCCAGCCTCACTAATGCCATTGCCACCCATGGTTGGCTCTGGCTGCACAAAGCTGGACAAAGATTTTGGCTCTGCATCCTCTAGTACAAGGCAAAAAAGTTGTGAGGGTTGGGGATAGCTAATCCACTGGCTGCCACATGTATACATATATATTATTTAAAAAACAACAGGTCAGGCGCAGTGGCTCACGTATGTAATCCCAGTACTTTGGGAGGCTGAGGTGGGTGAATCATGAGGTCAGGAGTTCAAGACCAACATGGACAAGATGGTGAAATTTTGTCTCTACTAAAAATACAAAAATTAGCTGAGTGTGGTGGCGGGTGCCTGTAATCCCTGTAATCCCAACTACTCAGGAGGGATTGCTTGAACTCGGGACATGGAGGTTGCAGTGATCTGAGTGCGCCACTGCATTCCAGCCTGGGCGACAGAGCAAGACTGTCTCAAAAACAAACAAACACGACAGTTCATTTCCCCGGAATAAGAAACCAATGGTGTCAAAGTCAAGGTTATGAAAGTTAGTTTGCTCTGTCCTGCAGCCATGACCGAATGCCTAATACAAGGCAACCAGCTTACTAATGTGAGGAACAAGTAAGAGCCAAGAAAGGGCTGCACGAGCTTCTATCTGCTGTGTGTGGCCATCACGTGCCAGTCTTCTGGCACATGCTCTGGTGGATGGATAGGATCATTTTCTCTGTTCATTGCCATTCTGTCCTTGGGAACCCACTCTAGTGTATTAATGAATACCGTTCCAATTTACCTTTCATATGTTTGGATTCATATATATCCTTAGGACATAAATAATATTTTGTATATGTTTAATTTACCCAAGTGGGCTTGTGCTATAAAGCCCATTGCTTCTTTTGTAACTCACATTGTGTTATTTATTTAAAAAATAGAGACAGGGTCTCACTATGTTGCCAAGCCGGGATTTGAACTCCTGGGTTCAAGTGATCCTCCCACCTCAGCCTCCCAAAATGCTGGGATTACAGCAATGAGCCACCACACCTGGCCTCACATTAGGTTTTTAACATCTACCAATGGTGTTCTATTCAGTTAATTGCTTTTGACTGATGCATAGTTTTGCATTATATGCCTATACTACATATTCATTCCCCTAAGTACAGATACGCAAATTGTGTATAGCTTCTTCCTACTGAATAATGGTATTCATTAATAACTATGCCATTGTTAGGTATGTCTAACAGTGACATATCTAACATGACATTGTCAGAACATCCTAGAATGACTTACACAAACCTAGATGGTACAGCTTACTACATACACAGGCTGTATGGCATAGCCTGTTGCTCCTGGGTTACACACCTGTACAGTATATTTCTGTATATTGAATGCTAGGAGGAATTAGAACACAACAGTAAGTATTTGTGTGTCTAAACATATCTAAACAGAAAAGAAACAGTAAAAACACAATATTATATTCCTGTAGGGCCATCATTGTATATATGGTCTGTTGTTGTTCAAAACATGATTATGTGGTACATGACTGCAACTACACATTGTTTTATGTGCTAGGAAAAAGAAGCACAGCTGCTAATTTAGAATGAGGGTTAGGAAATTTTGCTCTGAAAAGGTGAAATGTAAGCCAATCTCAAAGATGACAACACACCAACCAGGTGGAGAGCAGTGGGCAGTCGGTGGGGCAGGAAGAGCATTCTGGGCAGAGAGAACAGCATTGTGCAAAGACCCAGAGATGAGACAGAATGAAGCAAAGGTAGGCACTGCAAGAAGGTCGTTGAGCTCTGGTGCAAAGGGGAAAGTTGTGGAAGGTGTGGCCAGACAGATAGTTGGGGGAAAGAGCAACCTGGCTTGTTTAGTATTTTGGATTTTACACTGTATATAATACAGGGTCACTGGAGGGATTAAAAGACTTTAGCTCCTAGGTAGAGAATACTTTGAGAAGGTCAGTAATAGGAGATTAATTCAGTTGTTGTAGAAGTCAAAGTGAGAGTTGATGGTGGCTTGGACTAGAGTTATAAGGGAATGGGTAGAAAGCAGTACAGGGATTTTAAGTATATTCTGGAGATGAAATCAACAGAACTTATAAATAATTGGATGCTGAGGATGCAGAAGAGGGAGGTGTCCAGAATGACTCCCAGGTTTCTCCTATGAAGAGTTGGGTAGAAAGAGATGCCATTTCCTAAAATGGAGACTATTGAGAGAAAAGCAGATTGTGGGAGGAAGAGTTAGAGTTCTCTTTAAACTATGTTAAGTTAGAGACATCCAAATATAGGGGGCAAACATGGGCAGTCAGATAATATGGATCTGGAGTTCAGAAGAGAATCTGATTAAAAGTATTTGTTTGTAATTAATTTGTAAGTAGGTGATATTTAAAGCTGTAGAAACCAGTAGGTTAGGCGGTGAATGTACACGCGCTGAGGAGAAACGAGGGCTTAGAATGGAAACTGGAGGACCTCCAACATTTAGAGGTCAAATAAAGGAGGAGGAATCAGCAAGTCTGACTGAGGAGTGGCCAGACATGTAGAAGACAATATGAAGAGTGTGGTGTCACAGAGGCCGAGATGAAGCTATGATAGGTCAAAAAGGATGGAAATCATTGGGATCATGGATCAGGCAACATGGATGTCACCAAAGACTTTTCTGATAGCTTTTGGAGCATGCAAGCCAATGTTGAAATGGGTTGAAAAGAAGGTATTTATATTTCTGGCAATTTGTGGGATTAGTTATCCTGGAAAATCTTTCTATGTAAAGTACCTGGAAATGTTGGATAAATATAAGAAATCATTTATTTATTTATTTATTTATTTTTGAGACGGAGTTTCGCTCTCGTTACCCAGGCTGGAGTGCAATGGCGTGATCTCGGCTCACCACAACCTCCGCCTCCTGGGTTCAGGCAATTCTCCTGCCTCAGCCTCCTGAGTAGCTGGGATTACAGGCAGGCGCCATCATGCCCAGCTAATTTTTGTATTTTTAGTAGAGACGGGGTTTCACCATGTTGACCAGGATGGTCTTGATCTCTTGACCTCGTGATCCACCCGCCTCGGCCTCCCAAAGTGCTGGGATTACAGGCTTGAGCCACCGCGCCCGGCAAGAAATCATTTATTAATGCATAGCTGAGTACCCACGAAAATAAAGGAAATCTCTAGGAGTGGAAAAAAAAAAAAAAAAAAGAGATACCTTGAAACCTCAGAAATGTAGCAGATTCTGAAAGTAGAATTGTCCTAGAGGCATTTGCCAGTCTTAGAAACTGAGAAACTTAAGTTTAACAGCTGTCCAAGAAAAGACAGAAAGCCCTTGGGACCTTAAAAGGCAGGGAGTTAGAACTGAGACCCCTCCAAATACGGTTGGAATCCTTGAAGGGTGACACAGTGAGTGAAAAATTGGAATAGGAAGAATCTGCTACCTCATGAAAGGAGATGACAAAGAAAGTTCTCTCTCTTGACCTAGGTGGGAAAAACTAAAGCCTGTTCCTTAGAATTGAAAACCACATGTCCTCTCACATGTATTTGGGGTTCAAAACTGCACCACCTACATGTTGTATATAATCCCTGGATAAGAAATTACACTGTATGCAGTTTGATAGTGTACAAGAATATCTGTTGGAAACAAAGCAAATCCTCTTTGGAAGGACACATCCTCTATAAAGGCATTCCAAGTCACACCAGAAATGAGCTCACAATCTAAAATTACAAGACACAACAGGTAATACCACTCTGAGTTCTTAACAACAAACTATAGATTTCTCAAGAGCATTCGGAATTGGAATCATTAGTTATAGAATGCTAAATAAGTTTAACACGTTTAAGGAAATAAAAGGTAGGGAGAAAAAGCAGAAAAACTTGGAAAAGAACAAAATAGTGTTTCTAGTAATAACATAGAAGTATTTAAGTGGATATTTCCATGATGCTTAAACAGCAGACTAAATACAACTGAAGAGAGGACTTGGTGGTAATCTGGCATCACCCAGAAAGACACATGGCTTAAGAGACATGGAGTACAGAGTGAGAAGGTTGACCACGTGTCTAAATGAAGAGAATCAGGAGACAGGTGGGAGAACATATTGGGAGGAAGTGCCTGAGAAGCTTCTGGAGCTCATGAAAAGCATGACTTCTGATTTGGGAATTATAGTGTATCCTGGGTAAGATTATTAAAGGGAAATCTACCCCTGGACACACAGTGGTGGGATCACAGGGCACTAGGGACAGAGACTTTTACAGCCGCCATAAGAAAAGACAGACGAGCAGTGCCTAACCCAGCTGGGGATTTCTCAATGGGAACCAGAGGACAGCAGAATCATGCCTTTAAAGAGTGGCCAGAATAGAGCTGTCGACCTCGAATGCTGCCCCAGCTAAAACAACGTCCACAAACGGCTCAAGAAACAAGACAGGAGCTGCTTTCCACCAATGAGTTCCCACTGAAGCGGTGTCTGGACATCCAAGAACGTATGCGAGGGTGAAGAGGGCTGAGGGTGCCCTCAAAAAGGAAGCACATGAGATGTCAGGAGACTTGGGGAGCAAAGAATTAGATGGGTAAAGCTGGGCAAATACGTAAAATAGTGGTAATAAAGGGTCGAATTTGGCCGGCTATAGACCACTTGAGCCATGCCCACCCGCGTCTGGAGCCCACGGTGCAGCGGGGGGGGGGCCTAGCCCAGAAGGCCATGGCTCCCGTGAACCCTTGCGCCAGCTGCCGGCGCGCAGACGCCCGCGCGTGTGCGGTCGGTTCTGGAACGCGGCCACCGAGGCGCCTGGCGCCATGTTGGGGCCGAGGGGAAGGAGGGGAAGCGCTTGAAGCCGCGGGGCGCACAGCGGGAGCGGGAGTGGGGTCAAGACCGGGGCTGCTAGGAGCCCTGCCCTTCCCGCCTCAGTGGATCATGACCCGGTCGGGTTGGTGGGGGTCGTGCCCTGGCGGGGCGGGCGCTGAAAGATGATGCCGTTTCCGGTGACAACCCAGGGAACACCGCAGCCGGCGAAGCGCTACGGCATCTCCTCGCCGATCAGCTTAGCGGTCCCCAAGGAGACGGACTGCCTCCTCACCCAGAGGCTAATAGAAACCCTCAGGCCCTTCGGGGTCTTCGAAGAGGAAGAGGAACTGCAGCGCAGGATTTTAGTTTTGGAAAAATTAAATAATCTGGTAAAGGAATGGATACGCGAAATCAGTGAAAGCAAGAGTCTTCCGCAATCTATACTTGAAAACGTTGGAGGGAAGATTTTTACATTTGGCTCTTACAGATTAGGAGTCCATACGAAAGGCGCAGATATTGACGCCTTGTGCATTGCACCAAGGCATGTGGATCGAAGTGACTTTTTCACCTCCTTCTATGCTAAGCTGAAACTACAGGAGGAAGTAAAAGATTTAAGGGCTGTCGAGGAGGCTTTTGTGCCAGTTATCAAACTGTGTTTTGATGGGATAGAGATTGATATTTTGTTTGCAAGATTAGCACTACAGACTATTCCAGAAGACTTGGACCTAAGAGATGACAGTCTACTTAAAAATTTAGATATTAGATGCATAAGAAGCCTCAACGGTTGCCGGGTAACCGATGAAATTTTACATCTAGTGCCAAACATTGACAACTTCAGGTTGACTCTAAGAGCCATCAAATTGTGGGCCAAATGCCACAATATCTATTCCAATATACTAGGTTTCCTCGGAGGTGTTTCCTGGGCCATGCTAGTAGCAAGAACTTGTCAGCTTTATCCAAATGCAGTAGCATCAACTCTTGTACGGAAATTCTTCTTGGTATTTTCTGAATGGGAATGGCCAAATCCAGTGTTACTGAAAGAGCCTGAAGAACGGAATCTTAATTTGCCTGTATGGGACCCAAGAGTAAATCCCAGTGATAGGTACCATCTTATGCCTATCATCACACCAGCATACCCACAGCAGAACTCCACATACAACGTGTCTGTTTCAACCAGGATGGTCATGATTGAGGAGTTTAAACAGGGACTTGCTATCACACACGAAATTTTGCTGAGTAAGGCAGAGTGGTCCAAACTCTTTGAAGCTCCAAGCTTCTTTCAAAAGTACAAGCATTATATTGTACTTCTGGCAAGTGCACCAACAGAAAAACAACATTTAGAATGGGTGGGCTTGGTGGAATCAAAGATCCGGATCCTGGTTGGGAGCTTGGAGAAGAATGAGTTTATCACACTGGCACATGTGAATCCACAGTCATTTCCAGCACCCAAAGAAAATCCTGATAAGGAAGAATTTCGTACAATGTGGGTGATTGGGTTAGTGCTAAAGAAGCCAGAAAACTCTGAAATTCTCAGTATTGATCTCACCTATGATATCCAGTCTTTCACAGATACTGTTTATAGACAAGCAATGAATAGTAAGATGTTTGAGACGGGTATGAAAATTGCTGCAATGCATTTAAGAAGAAAGGAACTTCATCAGCTGCTGCCTCATCATGTGCTTCAGGAAAAGAAAGCACACTCAACAGAAGGTAGAAGATTGACAGATTTGAATGACAGCAGCTTTGACTTGTCTGCAGGTGGTGAAAACAGCATTTCTGTGCCTTCATCTACTAGCACTATGAAGACAGGCCCATTGACTAGCAGTTCTCAGGGTAGAAACAGTCCTTCCTTGGCTGTAATGACAGCATCTGTGGCGAACATACAGGCTACTGAAATTTCCTTGCAACAGGTGAATACCAGCGAAAGTTCAGGGACTGCATTAAACGAAAGTATTCCTCACGCTGTCTCTCAGCCTGCCATTGCTCCATCACCAAAGCCCATGGTCACCTAGAGTTGTTTCTTCAACATGTCTCATAAGCCATCCAGACCTTCAGGAAACGCAACAACAAACATATCTAATCCTATAGTTGGAGTCTAGAGGATATTCTTGCTTCATAAAGAAGAAAGGACCAAGAAAACCTAAACAGGAAAAACTCAACACAAAGACAAGTACAACTCCATTAGAAACAACTCAGACAACATCTTCTCTTTTGGCCTCTCAGGGAACTTCAGTACAGGTCTTTCCAGTATCTCCGTTCTCCCTTCAAATCCAATTCCTGTTATCAAGAATTCAGTAAAACAGGTTGAATGGATAAGAACAACCACAAGGGTCCATCAACAGTATCTGCTAACTCAGCCTGTTGTCTTCAAATACTAAAGAAGGAGAATGAAGGATACAGGACTAGATATGGCTTGAAATGGATTTAGGCTCATTTAGTAACTTCCTTTACTGGGCTAGTGTTGATCAGAAGTCCAAATTAGTATGTGACAGTTAGAGGTACTGTTATTAATGTGTCAGCAACAGTTACATTAACTATTTCAAAACTGCCCTTAAAAAGAAAAAACTTTCCAGCTATATTTATACCCGTGACTGACATCTGGACTGGATTTATGTTTGATGCATTGTTGGGAAAATTTGAATACAAACTGGTATCAGAATTCCTTACACTGATGATGCACTTTATATTTTTTGTTAGAAAGTAGAACTAATTTTAGATTTTTCAAATTGGTGAATTTTATTTTTCCCCGAAGAGGTTTCTTCACTATTAATCTTAAAATTGGATACCATTGTGTAGTGGTGTACTGTACTTCAGAGAAAGCAAAAAAGTACATCTGGCTCAGTCCCTGTGAGGTAGCTGTAACCCTTTAAAATGAAATGTCAACTTTTAGGTATGTATTTGACATCAAAACAGTCATTAGTAGGTGTTTGGTTTTGATGGCACACCATGGAGAAATGACACACTGGTTTTATCTGTAGAATTGTTTTAGAGAGTAATCAGCAATCAAATATTTTCTCTGAGCTGAGAAAGCTCCATATTGTCTTGTCCTCAATCATTAGTCCTAAAACAAAAAGGCTTTTTGAGATGTGTTTCTGATCTTGGATGACCATTTGATCTCTACATGTGAGAAGTTTTGTACATTCCACAGAATACCTCCTGATAGGAAAGTTAATTTCCAGTTTCACACATAAGCAAAAAGGCATTTTCTCTAAGAGTTTTAAACACATTTTTACTTTTAAATGACTTATCAAAACTCATCTGTAAATTTTACATGTAGAAACATATAAAAGTAATTTTTAGCAAGCCCTTGACATCTTACTGGCTTTCTGCTCTTCTGTTTTAGTCTACAAAAGATCAGCAATACTTTAAGTGGAAAAAAGAAGATCCCTCGTAATTAAGCAGTAGAGCATCGATGTTTAGGAAATATGAGGGACAACAGATGTGGATGAATGAAAGTTTAGTCTTTCTTAATCTAGACAGCAAACTTAACAGTCTCTCCAGTTAACCTTGCTTTAACCCCTTCCCTCCTTCCTCTAATTGCAGTTTCATGTTAAACCACAATTACTGAAACTCTTTTCCTGTCCTTCTGGATTAATTTTCCAAAGTTGAAATATAGTCATTTCCTATTAGGCTGTACATTACTTGAGACTTTTCTTTCACCATTACCTTCTGATGTCTAGTATATGATATTTCTTTTTTTCACATCTTTGCCCTTTCACCAGAATAATAAATCGGGTGAATTGTGCACAATATCTGTAGTTTGAATGGTTATGGTGTTAGGTTGAAATGGCCAGGCACAAATTTAATCTGATCATTTTGTTTACACATTGGGAAAAAAATTAGTTTATTAGACATTACCTGTAACTGTACCTGTTTTACCAAGCTGGAACCTTGGAACTTTTTATTTCTAATTTTTATTACCTGAATGTGAGACTGTTTTTTCATGTGATGTACATAGTGAGTGGAGTTTGCTTTGTTTTATAGTATCTATACTCCTCGTATTTTCAAGCACTGCTTTGAAAACAGATGACTTATTTCTCCATTAAAAACGCAATAAAAGTAAATGGCAAACAAGCAAAGTGAAACTAAACTACTGGACAATAGTAACATTTAAATCTGAGATCTGAATTCAGATGTACTTACATTGTTCTGAAGGAGGGTAGAGACACTGATGAACTTTTCGACCTTACTAAGTCTAGAATGTAATAATGTTTAGGGAAACATGAAAAGGTTAAAATTTCATATCAGTAAAGGTGAAAAATGAAGCTAAGCTGAATCCAAAAGAAGGCAGGAAAGAAAGGGGGGAAGCATATCAAAAAATAGGGTAAAAAGAAAACATGATCTATAGTCATGGAAATGAAACCAAGTATATCTGTCACTACAATAAATGGACCAAACTTCCTGACTAAAAGGCAGAGATTGTCAGATTCCATGGGAAAACCAAGTCCAACTATATGCTGTTTTACTTCTGAGAGACACATCCAAAATAAAAGAATGGAAAAAAAAGGCATGTTAAGAGAAAAGAAGCTGGTATAATAACGATATCATTTAAGTAGGTGTTAGAGCAAAAATAATTATTAAGGACGAAAGGACCATGGATTGATGATAGAAGACCTCCTGCATCGGGAAAACGGAATGATTTAACACTTATCTGCACCTGATAAATCACTCTCAATATAAAATAACAAAGAGGAACAGAACTTGCTGAATGTGTCATTATCATAGAAGATTTCAGAACAGCTCTTTCATTAATTGATATCAAACGGATAAAAATAGAAGGGAAACAGTTTTTGAACATAGTCCAGTGTAGCGGTTGGTAAACTTTTCCTATTAAGGACCAGATAGTAGCTATCTTCAGCTTTGTGAAGCCATACGGTCTCTGTCACAGCTACTTAACTCTGCTTTTGTAGGGTAAAGTCAGTCATAGATAATACGTAAACAGATGGCCAGGGCTGGATTTGTCACCCAACCCCCTCAGCCATTGTTTGCCATCAATGATCTAGTGAACATTTATTATAGAACCTTCTGCCCAACAATTGGAAAATGCATATTCTTCTCAAGTAAATATTGGGCATGTACAAAAATTAACCTCGTGCTATATCAAAAGTAATATTTAACATACTTCAGAGTATCTGATTTATAGGACATGTTCTCTGACCACAGAACAGTAAGGTAGAAATCAAATAACAAATAGCACAAAGAAGACACAAAAAAGCTTAAGCCATAAAAAGAGAGATTGGTACAATTATGAGATTTTGTTCATCAAATAATAAACAGTGAGAAACTGAAAAACAGGCCTTAAGCTGGGAGAAGATTTTGTGATGACATGAAACTGACAAATGTTTACTATCCAGAATTTATTAAAGATGGCAAAGGAAAAAGTCTATTTAAAAAGATCAATAGGCTGGGTGCAGTGGCTCATGCCTGTAATCCCAGCACTTTGGGAGGTCAAGGTAGGCGGATCACTTTAGGCCAGGAGTTTGAAACCAGCCTGGGCAACATGGCCAAACCCTCTATTTACTAAAAATACAAAACTTAGCTGGGTGTGGTGGCATGTAGCTGTAGTCCCAGCTATTCCAGAGGTGGAGGCAGGAGAATCGCTTGAACCCAGGAGGTGGAGGTTGCAGTGAGCCGAGATCATGCCACCACACTCCAGACTGTGTAATGGTGAGAATCTGTCTTAAAAACAAAACAAAACCGGGTGTAGTGGTTCATCCTTGTAATCCCAGCATTTTGGGAGGCTGAGGCAGGTGGATCACTTGTGGTAAAACCTAACCTTTTGTATTTTTCTCTACTAAAATACAAAAATTCGCCAGGTGTGGTGATTCACACCTGTAATCCTAGCTACTTGGGAAGCTGAAGCATGAGAATCGCTTGAACCGAGGACACAGAGGTTGCAGTGAGCCAAGATCATGCCACTGCACTCCAGCCTGAGCAACAGAGCAAGACTCTGTCTCAAAAAAGGAAAATAATAAAATCCCCAACAACCCAGTTTAAAAAGTGGGCCAAAGAAATGCATAAGCATTTCACAGAAGAGGAACTAGGAATGGCCAATAAACATGAAAAGATGCCCAATCTCATTAGTCATAAGGAAAATACAATTTAAGACCAGAGAGATATGTATATATATATATATATATTTTTTTTTTTTTTTTTGAGATGGAGTTTTGCTCTTGTTACCCAGGCTGGAGTGCAATGGCGCAATCTTGGCTCACCGCGACCTCCGCCTCCTGGGTTCAGGCAATTCTCCTGCCTCAGCCTCCCGAGTAGCTGGGATTACAGGCACGTGCCACCATGCCCAGCTAATTTTTTTGTATTTTTAGTAGAGACGGGGTTTCACCATGTTGACCAGGATGGTCTTGATCTCTCGACCTCGTGATCCACCCGCCTCGGCCTCCCAAAGTGCTGGGATTACAGGCTTGAGCCACCGCGCCCGGCCAGAGAGGTATTTTTTAATACAAAAATAAAAAAGTCTAACAGTGTCTAGGTTTGTCGAGGATGAGGAGCAGTGGACATTCTAACATGGTGCCTCTGAGAGTGAAAACTGTTTTGGCTCCTTTGGGAAACAGTTGGGTCTTATCTAGCAAAGTTGACAGACCCACACTCTTAGTTCCAGTTATTCCACTCGTAGGTCTTCATTACCATCCAGTGGGACACTGATGGTCTTCATCTTACTGATTCCCTTAGTCTTTGGGGTCACCAGAGTCTGTGGGACCACAACCATGTCCAGAACTCTACACACCTCGTTTACTTCCAGTATGCTATTTAAATACCGTAATGTTCTATATATGTTGTGGTGTTAGAAAAGTCAGGAAGCACTTGGAGATGAGTATGAGAGTGTTTATGTCCATGTTTTGTAGTGGTCTAAAGTTCAAGACAATCCACAGCCACCAATGAGAGAATGGCTGGATGGTGGCATATTCACGCAATAAATAGTATAAAGTTGTGAAATTAAACCATAGCTATCTGCGTCAATGTAACTGTGTCTTACAATGTTGAGAGGAAAAGCACA